CTTAAAGTTGCCAAGGTTGGACACCCCTGGTTTTGTGTCTGGATGTTTGGCTTGGGTCAATGCAAGTGATGTTCTAGAAGCTTTGTAGGAATTGGTCTAAAGATTCAGTTGTTGTATGTAAAGACGCTTTACAGAGGGTTTTTTTTTTTAATTGTTCCCTTCAATGTGTGAAACACTTTGTGAACCTGGGTGCCCGTAATTAACACCATTAACCATCTCTGGGCTGTTTTAATAAATACCTTCTGAATGTTCAGAAAGTACCAGGAAAGTAATAAATATGAATTGATCCTTACCCGACTGGTTGGATCACTACATCTAATATTGTTTCCAGAGGTAGTTTTGTTCCAATATGTATAAATCTTGTTAAGTGTTGCTGGGCACATTTGTGGCAGGATGATGTTTTAGCCTCCAAGGGCAGTTTGCGTGACTTAAAAGAGATTCGGTCTCTTGCTTGTATTTTCCAAACTTTGCTTCGTCTAATGGGACAGAATTGAATAGGAATATAACTCGGTCCTTTTATTAGAGAAGAAAATGTAAAGTATTTCCTCTTCTGTCGTGCAAGCTCCTCGTTGCCTTTCTGCCCAGCGATCCTCTGCTTAAAGAACAGAATGTGTCTTGGAAGGGAAGCCAGCACGTTCTGGCTGACCTGGGAAATAACCTGTAGTCCTCAACATATGTCCACAACTCAGCCCAAAACTTCTGCGAGGCAGTTTGTTCGGTGAATTTTGCCACATTTTGCAAACTTTCTCCCCATATTTGTTAAGTGAATCACTGAAGTTGTTAAGTTAGTAACACAGTCGTGAAGTGAATCTTGCTTTCCCTTTGATTGTATGTATGGTATGTATGTATGTATGTATTTATTTATTTATTTGTTTATTTGATATTGCTGCCTATTCGCCCATGGTGACTCGAGGCGGCTTACAGAATGTAAAACCATATTTAAAACTAAAACTAAAACTAAAAAAACAATAAAAACTAACAAAAAGAATCAGATAAATTAATAAAGTACAATAGAACAAAATGGGGGGGGGGGGAAATCACCCCCCAACTCCCACCCATCCTGCCTCGACGATAGCAGATCCCGCGAGCTATTTGATGGGCTCCATCCCGCTCTGGGTTCCCCAGGCCTGCTGGCAGAACCAGGTCTTCAGCGCCTTCCGGAAGAGTGTTAGTGAGGGGGCCATTCTAATCTCTTGGGGGGGGTGATGTTCCAGAGAGAGGGAGCCACCACGGAGAAGGCCCTCCTTCTGGGTCCCACCGAGTGTATCTCCCTCAAGGGTGGGACCCGTAGCATTCCCTACCTCCCCGCTCTAATGGGTTGAGTAGATGTGACCGGCAAGAGATGGTCCGTCAGATAACCATTTTGCTTGTCGGAAGGTCGTAAAGAAGAGTCCCGTGACCACAGGGCACTGCAACCGTCATAAATACGAGTCAGTTGCCAAGCATCTGGATTTCGATCCCCTGATGATGCAACGGTCCCAAGCGTGAGACAGTCCTAAGTCCCTTTTTTTTCAGTGCTGTTGTAATTTCGGTCATGAAAGGGCACCTAGGGCACTCAGGGAGGAGAGGATAAGGGAGAAACGTGAATGGCATGGTCTACGGGGGAGGAAAGGGCCTTGATCCTCTTCATAGGCTGCAGCTGTGAGAACTGGTTAAAAGGACGGACATGCTTATGGGCCAGTGCTGGAAACAAAGCGTGGAAATATCTCTAGTCTGTCGTTCCTCTCTGAGTTTGGCGTCCTTTCCAGTGTGTGTTCCGATATCTCTGGACATTTTCAAGCCCTTATCTTGCCTGATTCCCTTAATTGCTTCAGTGCAGTTTGTGATGTTTTTACCCTTTATAATGTAAACAGCATTTCCTCCTTTTCGTAACTGCTTGTGGGGGAGTTTTTTGTCTCCAGTCAAGGATATTTGTAGTTTTGAAGCAAAGTGAAGGAATAAAAGGGGCTTCACCTGTTTTTGTGACCGAGTTTATTTTGTATCCCACCCTGGGTCACCAACATTATCCAAAATTCAGACACCTGGCAACTGACTCGTGTTTACGATGGTCGTAGTGTCCCTTTGAGACCTCTCGACAAAGCCACTGGGAGAGCCGGATTCACTGAACAACAGTTTAATTTAACAGCCATAGTGATCCACTGAACAACTGTGGCAAGAAAGGTCGTATAAAGGGGCAAAACTCCCTTAACAAATGTCTCGCTTAGCAGCAGTGTTACACTCAGTTGGGATCGCAAGTGGAGGACAATCTGCATGTGCAGCAACTGAGTTCAGAATGGGAGCTTCGTTTTCTAAGAGTGGATTCTTGCTTTGCAGACTCTCTTTAAGGATTTTCTTAGGCTCTTCCTTCTCAGCAAGCGGTACAATCTTAAATGTTTTGAACCCAAAGATGTGTGACTCCCAATTTCATTCACATTGATTGGAAAAGGGAGTCGGCGGTGAAACCTTACTAGCCAGTCTCCCGGTTCACCGTTGCTGTTTTCCCCTTGTGTTAATTAAAGGAGGAATTGATTATTGTAAATGCAGGATTTCAGCCATCTTTCTCAAGAGGGGTAGAATTCTCTTGACAATGTTGGGACACCCCAACAAATATAATATAATATCATTACAGTTGCTCCTAAAGCCACGGGAACAGCTGGGTGGGATCAAAATTCAGATAGGCCAGCATTGCTCTTCCCTACCAGATGTCATTGGAAACCAGTAACGTACGTACATTACTTTCCCACCTGCTCAAGTTTCTCTTCCTGGAGGTATAAATAGCTTCTATAACAGCACAGCGGACTTCCAACACCCAGAATTCCCCAGCTAGTATGGCTAGCTGGGGAGTTCTGGGAATTGAAGTCCACCCATCTTAAAGTTACCCAGGGAGAGAAACCACTGGATTGGATGGTCTTTCCGGCCCTTCCAACTCTTATCGTTCATGGCTGGCCGGGAAATTCTGGGAGTTGAAGTCTACCCATCGTCATCTTCAAGTTGGCAAGGTTGAGAAACACTAAACTAAGTGATCCTTCTGGTCCCTTCCGACTTTATTATTCGTAGCTGGCCGGGGAATTCTGGGAGTTGAAGTCCACCCCTTTTAACACTAACAAACACAACTATTTTAGAACCTATTTTAGATTCTTCTCTCCCAGGCATAGGACTGTGATAGGGAAGAGATTTGGTCAAAGCACTAAAATTGACACACCGTTCGTCTCTGTCTTACCGACGCCAGCATTTGAAACAGACGCTAAACAAATCCTGCTTTTGTGAGGGGCACGAAGCCCCAGTGAACGGAGGCCTTGAATAGAAGCTCACTCACATCCTGGCCTGGACAAAAGACCTCCTCTCGGTCTGATTTAGCTTTAGATTTTGTCAGAAGCTTGCTTCTTTTTTTTTTTTTCCCCTGACGCAGTGGCTTTCAAAATGTGCTAAGTTGATAAGCCCGCTTTGTATACCCAGCCCAGTGCTAGCAAAACACTCGACCGCTTCGCTCTCAGGAAGCAGAACCCTATTTGAACCCCATTTGCCTTTTGCTGATGTGTTCAATGGAGCTGGGAGCTAGTCTGGCATTATCAAAGCCCCCGGGGCCTCTTTTAAAAATACTCCCAGAGACCCGTAAAGTCCACCTCTTCACGGGTTCAAGGAGACATCCGGGGAGGTCCCTGTTATTCTGTATATTTCCCACAATGGAAGAGTGGATGATGAAGATAACGGAATGGGCAGAGGTGGGAAAAAATGGCTATTGTGTGGGTGCCAGTGATGGGGCTCCCAAAGTCCCTTGAAGAGGGGGGGGCAGTGGTGGGATTCAGTTTTTTTTTTACTACCGGTTCTTTGGGTGTGGCTTGGTGGGCGTGGCAGGGGAAGGATACTGTAAAATTCCCATTCCCACCCCACTAGCCTGATTTCCAGCTCCGTTCTCCTGTTTAGAGCAACCAAAGAAGACCCAGCCAATCAGCTGAGACTCGATGGGAGGCGGAGAATAGATGGGGTTGGCAGGGCCAGTCAGAGGCGGCATTTGCTGGTTCTTCGAACTCCTCGAAATTTCCGCTACCGGTTCTCCAGAACTGGCCAGAACCTGCTGAATATACCACCTCTGGGGGCGGGGGGGGGGGCAGGCCTCTTCCGGCAGTCCCGCTGAGTAACTCTTCCTCTTCCCTCCCGACAGGGTCTCCTTATCTGCCACGGACTGTTACATCGTTCACGAAATCTACAACGGGGAGAACGCCCAGGACCAGTTCGAATACGAGCTGGAGCAAGCGTTGGAAGCCCAATACAAGTACATCGTGATCGAGCCCACCCGCATCGGGGACGAGACGGCCCGTTGGATCACGGTGGGGAACTGCCTGCACAAGACGGCGGTGCTGGCTGGCACGGCCTGCCTCTTCGCCCCTCTGGCTCTCCCGCTGGATTATTCCCACTACATCTCTCTGCCGGCCGGGGTGCTCAGCGTGGCCTGCTGCACCCTCTACGGGATCTCCTGGCAGTTTGACCCCTGCTGCAAGTACCAGGTGGAGTACAATGCTTACAAACTCTCCCGCCTGCCTCTACACACGCTGACCACGTCCACCCCGGTCGTGTTAGTGAGGAAAGACGATCTGCACAGGAAGAGGCTGCACAACACGATAGCACTGGCGGCCCTGGTGTACTGTGTAAAGAAGGTGTACGAACTCTACGCCGTATGATTGCGGCCGAGAAAAGTGGGGAGGGGGGGGAGGGAGGAGGGAAAAACCCATCCGAACCGATAAAAGGTGTATTAAGGACTCCTACAGGAACAATTTAACTTTTTTCCCCCCCCCCACCTTCTTGAAGTGGTGCCTGAAAAGCCGTTTTCGGTTTACCCGATTATTATTATTATTATTATTGTTTCGTTATTTCTTTTTCTTTTTCCTTTCGAAAGAAACAATCACACTGACGTCACATCAAGGGATTCCTGTTCTTTTTATTTTTAATCCCTCCGACCTAGATCTGTGGTGGGGTGGAACAGCATGAGCGATGAAGACAACAGTCGTTACACGACAAGAGGGTTGGGTGGGTAAGGTTTTGGTTCCTCCAGCCATCCTCTCCTCCCCCACCCTTGGGGAGAGGAGGGGGGGGTGAGGAAACACACATCCCTTAAGTATCTTGTTTAATTGTATTCTACAGAACCAGCTCAAAGATATCACTGACCATTCATTAAAGGATGAGAATTTGAAGAGGTCCTTTTTTTTCTTTTGGGACGAAAAATATCTGGTAGGAAATTCTCCCGGCGGGGTGGAGCCTAATTTTAAAGGATGGATTGGGTGAAAGCTCACTTGTCAGTAGACTGACCTACAACAGGAGGTCAACTCATCAAATATTTCTATGGTCTTTTCAGAGTTGCCAACAGAAAGGGAGGGTGGGGGTAAGTGCCGGAGCCCTGACAGAAGGACCGGTCCACGGTGCCTCTACCAGCAAGAGGGCTGCAGGAGGCCATCGCAGCCGAAAACTGAGCTTGGGAACCTGTTTTTGGTAGCAGAGCTCTTGGCCTGCCACAAGCACCCCCTGCCACGAGTGCCACCGATCTGGCCACGCCCAACCCGGCCCACCGAGGTCAAACACAACCCTGATGCAGTCCTCAATGCAATCGAGTTTGACACCACTACAACAAAAGCTTTGGACCTTTGTCAATAGCAGTGGTTGGGTTCGCAAAACATTGAGGTTCGATTGCTAAGTCGTGTCTTGACTCTAATGTGTTCATCTTGCTGACGATTTTAACTGGGGCTTATTTTTGGGCGGGGGTAGGGCTTACATTACGAGAATTCTGAAAAAATCATGCTAGGGCTTATTTTTTATTTTTTTGGTTGGGTCTTATTTTCGGGGAAAACCCGGTACCTATGGGGAATGTCAGTAGTAGTATTTTTTTCCCCCTCTCCTGCTTACAAATTAAGCGTAAAAGATAAGCTGGAAAGACAGGTAAGGAAAAAAAGAAGTTAAAATATCCAGCTATTCATGGCACGTTGTCTTCTGAAGATCCACTTGAGCGGGAAGCAGCTTCCGTTCTCGAAATCGGATGTGAATCGGCTAAGCATCGACCCTCTGTACATAAAATGCTTTGCGGGGCTCGGAAAGTTTTAGTTGGCGGTGCTTCTTGTCCCCAGACATAAATCCACCCCTTAGCGCAGCAAAAGATGAAACGTTCGGCTCCTGCAGTCCTCCACCCATGTCAGCTACGACACCTAGCGGCTTCCCGTCCACACTCGGACCTGGTGAAGTCTTCCCCGGGGTGGATGGGTTAGGACTGCTTGTCTTTCTTCTCCTTGCGTGCTCTCCTGGCCATGAGGGTGAAGAAGACAGCGGGGCAGAGCGGCCGGAGATAAACTGCCAGGGCGGGCAAGAAACCCAACCCCAGCAAAACTTCCTTTCTCCTCTCTCCCACGGCGTCCAGGACCAGTCGAGCCACGTCCGCGGCTGTTTTGCCTTCGCTGGTGCTCTTGTCCATCACTGCGTTGTATGGAAAGCAAGCAAGCATTTTTTTTTAAGGAGCAGGGAGCTTCCTCGCTACCCCAGTCAAACCATCACAAAGACCGCTAGTCCTTGACCCAACGGGGCTTTTTTTTTTTTTTTTCAGGAGGCAACCAGACTTCCTTTTCTTTGGAAGATGTTTCTCTTCTTATCCAAGAGGCTCCTTCAGATGTGACCGGATGGTGGGGAATGGAAGGATTTATATTCCTTGCAGACCGAGCTGGTCATTTGCATCCTTTTAGAAGAACACAAGGAAGTCCAGTTGCCTCCAGAACAACCACGACCTGGAGGACTGAGAAGACTACAGGGACCAGGAGCGCTACTCGGGTAACCCTGAGGATACAGATAAACCTCCAAGTGGCCTCAACGACCCTCTTAAAAGGATGCAAATGACCAGCTTTTTGCAAGGAGTCTAAATCCTTCCGTTTCCCCACCGTCCAGTCAAGAGCTGAAGAAGCTTCTTGGGTGAGAAGTGAAAAGTCTTCAAAAAAAAAAAAAAAACCAAGGAAATCCAGTTGCCTCCTGAAAAAAGGACCTTTTGGACAACGATGATCTTGTATGACTGAGAATCTCTACAGACTTTTAGCTAGTCCTCGACTTAACTGTTTAGTGACCATTCAAGGCTACGGTGGTGCTGGAAGAAGTGATTTACGACCCTTCTTCTCACAATTGTTACAAGCACCCGTGTAGTCACACCGTCGAAACTCAAGACGCTGGCTCGTATTTATGACGGCTGCAGTGTCCTGGGGGGGTCACAAGATCCTCCGTGACCTCCAGCAAAGTCAGTGGGGAAGCCAGGTTCACTTAAGTCTGGTACTAACTTAATAGCTGCAGTGATTCCCTTAACAACGGCGGCGAAAAGGCCATAAAACGGGACAGAATTCACTTTTAACTGTCTCGTTTAGCCACGGAACGTTGGGCTTCCGTTGGGCTCGTAAATCGAGGGTGAGCTGTACCACCACCTGCTGGAAAGCTAGGGCTCATGAATAAGTCTTTAGCCCTCCCAAGTTCCCTGCTCGTTGTAATTTTTATTGCTTTCCCTTATAAAGGAAGCAGCTGTTCTGCGAAGGAAGACGACAGCTTCAAACCTCATCTGCATTGCCAGCAGTGCCCAAGGCTTAGGAAGACCCCAGATGCATTGTTGGATTTAGACATAGGTAGCTCAACGGCCTCTTTTGCGGGGGCGGGGGCTGCTAAATGCCTTTTCACGACTGGCCCTACCTGCCATTCTGAGGAGTCCCATAAAGTCTCTGCCAAATTCCAGATGGGCCCACCGGCCCTCCTCCCCCACAACAGCTGAGGACAGCCTCCCCCACCGTAAGCCCTTCAGCATCCCTGCATCCCTTAAGCCTCTCCGGTTCAACGGTTCTGACGATCTAATTGCTGGGCTTGAGGGGCCAGGATAAATGAATACACAAACTGCCGACCGGATCGGCAGGCCCTTGGCCCCCTGAGAGGAGAACCGATCCTCACCTCCGTACTGGGATCCGTCTGACGTGACGGCGTTGAGCGAAAGGTTGGTCTGGATGTAGCCGGGACACACAACCGTCACGTCGATGTTGAACCGCTCCACTTCGGCTCGCAAACAGTCGAAAAAGGCCTGGGTTGCGTGCTTGGAGGCCGCATCTGAAGAGGGCGAAGGAGACAGGAAGGGTAGTGTCAACAGCATCCAACGGGAAGTTTTTTTCCTAAGCCACCGCTGTTGCCTCTGTGTTTCAAATGCGCTGTACATCTGCCCAACTCCAAAGGATTAAACCGGCGAATTAAAGACGTGAAAACTGCACAGGTTAAAAAAATTTGGTCCTTAAAAGCAACACAAACCACAAGAGGCCGCAAAGGAAGGCGGGACTTACACGCCGACCGGAAGGGAATGCTGATCTTTCCTTGCACGCTGCTGATGGTTACGATGTGCCCTTTTCTCCTCTTGATCATGGCAGGCAGGAGGGCTGGGATGGAAGAGGGGAGAAAAATTTAAGACTTTCAAACGCGACCATAACAACTGCACGTAGTCCTCGGCTTACGGCCGCCATCAGGAGCACCATTTCCATTGCTGAGCGAGGCAAATCATTTGAGCTGCCTGATTTTACGCACTTTGGCGCACGGTTGTCGAAGTGAACCACACGGTCGTTAAGCGAATCCTGCTCCCCTCCCCCCTCCATTGACTGCAGGTTGAAAGTCAGCTGGGAAGGCCCCAAATGGGGATCATGTGATCGGCTGTCATAAATACACCAATGCAAATATAAATCTGAGCCGCGGTGATGCAGTGGTTAGAATGCAGTGTTGCAGGCTAATTTGCCCACTACCAGCTGTTTGATTCTGACCGGCTCAAGGTTGACTCAGCCTTCCCTCCTTCCGAGGTTGGTAGAATGAGGAGCCAGATTGTTGGGGGCAAAGAGGCTGACTCTGTAAACCGCTTAGCTGTAGAGCACTGGGAAGCGGTATATAAGTCCAAGCGCTATTGCTATACGTACCAATATGACGGCTGCAACCGTCACAGATGCATGCTGTTTGCCAAGCATCCGAAGCAATGCTTGTAAATCCAGGGCTACCTGCACTTGGTTGCTATTCTATTCTTCCCATTATTAATTCATGATTTTGCTACGTTGCTCAGGTCTGATTTTTTTTGGGTCCTTTCTCACCTGGAACTGGAATCCGTTGTCTCGAGCCTTACCTTTCGTCAAAGCAACCGGACCGAAATAATTGGTTTCCATCACTTTCCGGTCTACCTCTATCACCGTCTCTGTTATGGTGCCCCGGTAGCTGATGCCAGCATTGTTAATTAAAATATCAACATGATCCACACAGCTCAAAATCTCCTCCGCAGCGCTAACTACCGCATTGATATCCGAGAGATCAAAAACCACAACGTGATGTTTGTGAGCCTATGAAAATTGAGGGGAAGAAAAAAAAAATGAAAAACCCACAACTTTTTGCACCCAAATCTTTTCAGCTACAGGATTTGCAGCCTAGCCTTACATTGTTCAGGTAGTCCTCAGCTTATAACCATAACAAGTCCAAAATTTCCATTGTTAAATGAGTTGAGCAAATGCTAAACCCCATTGCTAAATGCTAAACTCCGTTGCTAAATGCTAAACTCCATTGCTAAATGCTAAACTCAATTGGTGAAGTAAGTTTTGCCCCATTTTACAGCCTTTCTTGCCACAGTTCTTAAGTGAATCGCTGCAGCTCTTAAGTTAGTAACACAGGATTGTTAAGTGAATCTGAATTTTATTGTCAGGTCGTAAAAAGGTGATCAGTGACCCTGGGGCACTGTAACTGTTATAAACATGAATTGGTTGCCAACATCTGAATTTTGATCGAGTGGCCATGGGGATGCCACAACAGTCATAAGTATGAAAAACAACCATAAGTCACTTTTTACAGTGCCGTAACTAAACAGTCACTAAACTGACTGTTGTAAGTTGAGCACTTACCTGCATCATTTTTCTCTTTTGCAAGCTTCTCCAAAGGTATCATCAGGAAGGAGAGAAACTCAAATTTAATTCTCCCTGTACCAGAGCTGTGTATACACCGCTACCGTTCCAAAGGTGATTATTCAAAAGGCAACTGGACTTTCTGGTATTTCTTGAAGACGTTTCGCTTCTCATCCAAGAAGCTCTGAGCTGAAGAAGCTTCTTGGATGAGAAGCAAAACGTCTTCAAAGAAAAAAAACAGAAAGTCCAATTGCCTCTTGAAAAAGCACCTTTGGGACAGCCGTGACCTTGGATGATTGAGAATCTTCATAGACCTTGGAAGAAGAAGTTCTGCAGAAGCTTCTTGGATGAGAAGTGAAATGTCTTCAAAGAAAAACCAGAAAGTCCAGTTGCCTCTTGAAAAAAGCATCTTTGGCTCAACCATGACCTGGATGACAGAGAATCTCCATAGGTTTTCAGCTGTACCATTTGGGATGGACATCCTACGAATGGTGTGGGAGTAGGAATGGATTTCCAGAGGAAAAAATTGCAGACTACAGGAACCATTTGCACCACTCAGGTGACCCTGAGGACAGATAAACCTCCAAGTGACCTCAACGACTCTCTAAAAAGAATGCAAATGACCAGCTGTCTGCAAGGAGTATAAATCCTTCCGTTCCCCACTGTTCAATCAGAGCTGAAGAAGCTCCTTGGGTGAGGAGCGAAACGTCTTCAAAGAAAAACCACAAAGTCCAGTTGCCTCTTGAAAAAACACCTTTGGGACATCCATGGCCTGGAGGACTGAGAGTCTCCATGGGCACCACTGCTGTTATTTTACACAGACCCTGTTCCCAGAGAGACATGGCATTCTCGAAGTCAAGTGGGTGCGAGCAACAATGTCAATTCCCCAACTTGTCTCGGGCCCACTACTCACGTTTTTGAGGGGGTCAGCGGCAGCAGATAACTCCCGGAGAACATCCTGAAGCCTCTCTCCACTTCGGCCACACAGGACCAGTTGGGATCCCGCGGCATGGAAAGCTTTGGCGCATTCTAGCCAAGAAAACAGGAGGAGAGAAGTTGTATGTGTGCGTGAGAGAGATCTGTTTGATCGTACGCCTGGGATGCCCATTCCAACCTGATGCCCTTTAGAGGGGGTGGACTACGGATAGCCCTCGGCTTGCAACGCTAGAACAGCACTGATAAAAGTGACACGACTGGTTTTCAACGGAAATTTGGGCTCAATTGTCGTTGTAAGCCGAGGACTAACTGCACCACTTTTAGAAGCTTTTGCTATTGGCCATTTCGGATGGATCCAACAGGAGCCAGCCTGCCCGCAAACCATGTTTTTCACTGATTCCAGTCCTGCTAACTGGAGCGACAGCACTTCTTTCTTGGCAAAAATAAAAAGGTATTTTATGAAGGCAAAAGTGCGTATCGCCCATGCTTATGTAAGTGTTTGAGAAGATAAATATCCCGGGGAAACAATGACCTAATTTTAGCATCTGTCTCTTGGAGAAAAAAAATTCTGCATTTTTTTTTTAAAGAAAGAGTGGCAAAGAGGTTTTTTATTTTTTTAAACAAGACTGCAAGATTTAAAAAAAAAAAAATCAAATTCCTCTCCACAAATAAAAGAATGCAAAACATTTTATTTTCCCCCTGGACATCTGAAGCCAGCTCTTTCCCAATTATCTTGGATTCCTGCCCCTCCATGCAACGCACAGACTGGATCCCCATCCTGTGCTAAGCCACGATTTGCTCTCTCGTGCTTGGTTCATCAAGCCACCAACGGCTGGGTTGACTCGACTTGCTCAGCTAGAAACGAGCCAACTATGTGTTGGTTTAGTCTGCAGCACAAATCAAATTATGGGAAAGCAGAGGAGATATGTCCCTCCTCTTTGGCAGGAGAGCAAAGTTTCAGGAGAAAACCCCTTACCTTTCCCCAGTCCAGAAGTTGCCCCGGTTATCACTACTACTGCGTCCTTCAGGTAGGCCCTGGCCTGGATTCTCCTGACCAATCGCAAGATAGTGAAGATCCCTACGCCACCCAAAATCAGTGGAAGAAGGATCCCAGTGGTGAAATCCATGAACTTTTGATTTCTCCTGGAGGAGCAGAAAGGAATGGGAGGAAAAAAAAGGCACGTGGAATAGATTGATCGCTAACCCTTTTAAGTCAGGAATTCCCAACCTTGTCAACTTCAAGACGGGTAGATTCCAACTCCCAGAATTTCCCCAGCCAGCGTGTTAAAATTATGATTAGTGTAAAATTTAAGATTTCAAATCTAGCCGTCATCAAGGTTAGCTTCGTCACGCCCCATGCATTCCTTTAATTTCATTTGCAAAACTCGCTTAGATTCTTAAGCAAAGTGCAATGCCAATCATTAAGCAAAGCAGCCTATAAGAGTGTTTGAATAATAATAATAATAACAACTCTGTCAGTCTGTAAACTAGAGGCAAGGACCCCACACTAAACAAGTCAAAACTCTAGAAAATGCCAAAAATCACCTGGCCATCCATTGCTCCCACCTGAGAGAAGCCACTGGATCCAGAAACAGAGAACACGCTTTACTGTACTTGGGACTGGCTGGTTCTGGAAGGTGGTTTGCTGCTCCAACTAAACCCAGGGCCAAGTAAGCCGCTTCCGATCTTCTCACTCGAGAGAAAGTTCTAAGAGTCTCTACAGGGAGATCGTTCAGGCAACGTCAGGGAGGCAAGAACAGCAGCGGAAATCCCAAGTCATCTTTGAAATGACTTTTTAAAAAAAATATTGTCTATGCCAGAGGTCTCCAAACTTGGCAACTTTAAGGCTTATGGACTTCAACTCCCAGAATTCTCCAGCCAGCACAGCTTACTCTCTTGTATTCCCTTCCTCTGCAATCTCTCCACTTTAGGAGGTTAAGAGAAAAAAGAAACAGTTACGGCTGGCTGGGGAATTCTGGGAGTTGAAGTCCACAAGTCTTCAAGTTGCCAAGTTTGGGGATCCCTGGTCTATGGGTAGTCCTCGACGTACGACTATGGTTGAGCGGCCCAACATTTCCACGGCTCAATCAGGCAGTTGATAAGTGAGTTTTGTCCTGTTTTACGACCTTTTTTTTTTGCAATTGTTATGGCTGTTAATGGTTACTAACTTAATAACTGCAATGAATGAGAGGGGCCACCTGTTTGAATGGGAAGGGTGAATATTTTGCCATATTCATTGGCAAAAGGTATTAGCTGCTCCAACAAAGGTATTAGCTGCTGGACAACCAGCTAAATAGGAGCCAGTGGCGTGCAGCATCGGCCAAAAAAAGCTAATGCAATCCTAAATTGCATTAACAGAGGGATGCAATCGAGAGCAAGGAAGATACTAATACCACTCTGTAAAGGCTTTTGGTAAGGCCTGGAGTACTGCATCCAGTTTTGGTCACCACACTATACAAAAGATGTTGAGACTCTAGAAAAAGTACAGAAAAGAGCAACCAGGATGATTAGGGGACTGGAGGCTAAAACATATGAGGAATGGTTACAGGAACTAGACTTGGCTAGTCTAGTGAAGAGAAGGATCAGGGGAGACAGGATAGCAGACTTCCAATATTTGAGGGGCTGCCACAGAGAGGAGGAAGGGGTCAAGCTATTCTCCAAAGCACCTGAAGGCCAGACAAGGAAGAATGGATGGAAACTGAACAAGGAGAGATTTAACCTAGAAATGAGAAACTTTCTGACAGGGAGAACAATCAACTAATGGAACAGAAGTTGCCCTCGGAAGTTGTGGGAGTGCCATCACTCGAGACCTTCAAGAAGAGATTGGACTGCCACCTGTCAGAAATGGTGAAGGGTCTCCCGCTTGGGCAGGGGGTTGGACTAGATGACTTACAAGGTCCCTTCCAACTCTGATTATCTGTTATCAATTATCTGTTATCTATTTAAGGAACCCTAAGAAAAACCTTTTCTGTGGAACTGTTAATGTAGGAATCCTTCCTCCCTGCAGAGATAAAGCAAAGCAACGTTTTGTGCTCTTAAAACCACATTCTGCTGAATTTAAACCGGCCATCAAGACAAGCCCTGCCCAATGAACCTTCAAGGAACCCTCACTGCCGATAGAGAGAACAACCATTCACTTTAACGGTGCTTCTCGGATGAGCTTTTCCAGACATTCAACATTGCAATCCATGCTAGGAAGGCAGGCCTAAAAGGAGGCCTGTGGGATCTTTTCTTTTCTTTTTTAAGGAAAAAATGCCTAATGCAAAAACAAATCCTAAACGGGAGACCGAGAAAAGAGAGGACCAAGAAAACGTAAGACCTTCTCTCCTAAGTCTTTGAGGGTGTCATCCTGAATATCGTACTGTCTTACCTTGTGGAAAAATAGAAGCTTCTAAGGCAGAGCAGTGTCCCATGCTGGTCTCTGGAGCTTTCACCGACAGCCAAAAGATTTAAATAGATAAAATGGCTGATGGCCAAGCTAAGAAGTGGCACATGAGAGTACAGCCAGCCTCCAAGTAACACACTGCCAGGTTATAGGCGTTCAAGAATGAACGGATGTCCCGTAAATATTCATAGAATGAATATCTACGTTTTATTGGCCTGGTTCAGCCTAGAACCAGGAAGCCACAGCCTTCACCAAACACACAAAAGGTCTTGTGTTGGACAAACCTTACTTGGCAGAAGGTCACAAAATGGGATCACGTGACCTCAAGACACTGCGACCGTCATAAGTACGAGTTGGTTTGCCAAGCGTCTGGAATTTCATCACGCTACCGTGGGGAGGCTTCCGCGGTCTGGGAAATGGTCCTTTCTTTTCAGGACCGTGGCAACTTCCAATGGTTGCTAAATGAAGTGGGGTAAGCGTTCTGACCAAGGCTTCCTGAGACCGTAATTAAGCACATGCTTAGTTAAAACAACTCTTGTTTTATTTTAACACTGGGAATTATGTTCATTCCCAGCCGATAATAAGTCCCAAACAGTTCCTCGAGATAAGCACCCACCTTTCTCTCCTTTGAAGTACTGACAACTAAAGTGCCAAATTAACTGTTAAAAGCCAAACGAAGTAAAAAGTCCTGGTAGCCCGATCTCTGCCATGGCTGCCAGTTTCTCTCTACGCATCCCAGATATCGGGGAACCATCAGAGAGGCCAGGCCCCAGGACCCCAGTAATTGATTTATTAGGAGAGTCGGCTAGCTGTCAGGGCTCCGGTAGTTACCCCCATTTAAATCATGAGTCTCCAGCCGGATTTTCAAACTTAAAGAAGTTTTATTAGGAGTAAACATGCCAGCATTGCCTGGGTGTAGCCGACTCTGAGGCACATCATTCATTGTTACCCTTGACCCTGGTTTCCCCCCCCACTCCCTGGGTGTATCGTAATTCATATTCTCCAATGGGACACATCCATAGCCTAGAGTCATCAATCTCTCCAGTTAGAATTTTGCATGGCAGAAACTTCAGTCACCAAGTTACTATCTTTGAAAACATTTATGGAATGCAAGCTGCCCACTGCTCCCTCCTCCCTTTCTGTTGGCAACTCTAAAAGACCACAAAAATATTTTATGAGTTGACACACAGAGCTTCAAGGTTTAATCCGAACAGAGAGAACAACGTTGCTTCCTGCAAAGGTTCCTGTCCCTTTGTACTTCCTTTATATCTTATGAGAAGGGCAATCACCTCCCAGCCTTACTCCCAAGTCACCCCTTTTGTCTTAGCTGCTCTTGCCTTCTAGCAGCTCTGCGCATACACGCACTGGGAACAGGGACTTATAGTTACAGTTTGTGTTGATCACGTTTTGGACTTGATTCTCTGCAGCCAAAGGCTGTTCCTGGGAGAGTTTTTCTCCAGCCAGAAGGTAACCAGGACATTGGCGGCAAAGTTGGAGCTAATAAAGGGACTCCTACTGATTATCTGACTGTGTTGCCTTTGTGCCACCCCCCCAGGTCATCACAAAACTAGAAAGGTGTGGAGATCCCTACAGAAGATAAGATAATAATAAAAAATACTAGAATGTGCAGAAATTGATAGATTAACACTTGGAATTAAAGAGAAGGAAGAGATGGAATATTTTGAAATATGGGATTCGTTTTATCAATGGTTAACTAGCAGAAACAGAAGTTAGAACATTTAAAATTATAAGAGAAGGACTAATTTAACCATGAGGGCTTACCATGGTATAATTAATAAGTATTAATATTATTATGAGAAAACACTATTATATGACCACCACTAATGAACATTACTATTATGATTATTGCTCAAACTAACTGTAACCAGACAACATACTGTTTATATAGACATTGAAACTGTTGCTCTTTCTTTACATAGCAAAATTTTTAAAAAAATATTTTTTAAAAAGAAGATGACATCGGATTAAAGAAATTGAGAGGGTATCTATATGTCAGAGAGCCAGTCTGGTCACCAAACTAGAAATGGAGAAGCCATGAGTTCTACTCCTGCCTCAGGCAGAAAACCAGCTGGGTGATGTTGGATCAGTCATTCTTCTCAGCTCTGTTTCAGAAATCTTGCCAAGAAAACTGAAGGATTTCTCTAGGCACTTGCCAGAAGTCAACACTGACTCAAAGGCGCCACAAGGGAAATATACATATATACATCAAAAGTAGCTCCCCCCCCCCATTCATTTACTGCACTGGAAGCTGTCTGTCTGCTAACTATTTTTAATTTTAACAGCACCAGACTGCTCGCCAACGTTTAATGATTCAGAATTGCTTCACCTACATGGGGAGGGAATAATAAAAAAAAAATCTGGTCCTTCTTTTTTGCAAGCTAAATTTAGTTCTTTTCTCACCAGGACTTGTCGCACAGGTTCTGTTCTTAAATATCTCCTCCTCTTGTTCTTTGCCAGTAAGGCCCAAGAGCTTTTAAAAACCACAAATGGAGGTTATAAATTCAGAATTAGGGAGTTGGACAATCTACTCCATCTTGTGCCGGATGAAGGAAACACCCCAGTTGATGGGTAATCAAGCAAGAAAGAGATCACTCTATCTTCCATTTTTCACTTTCCACGTAAGGCATATACGCAAAATTACATGTGCCCATTTTCCATACATCCATTCAATTGCCAGTGTTACTGACATATTTTTGGACTTGCTGAAGTGATGGAATTAAATTAAATTGCTCAAGTGTCCCTGATCAAGACACAACAAGTCTACTTGTTAAGCATCCCAACCCAGCAGCAATTAGAACTCGAGAGAATCCTTCAACTAGCTTGATCTTTTTTCGACATCATCTCTGATTAAAATGCCACACACTCTGAGAAGTTCAATTCTATGGGTCTTAATTCCAAGAAGAAAAAAACAGAATCTAGCTGCAAGCCTCTGCTATGTTAATATTATGAAAATGTTGAGATTCCAGTTTGACTTTGAGGCAAACATAATTAAGGATGACTCAAGACGCCAAATGTTCTGGATTTCCCAAACCAGCTTTTTTCACCATAACAGCTCGCAGTTGATGGACATCAACTCCCAGAATTCTCCAGACAGTTATGGGAATTCAGGGAGTTAAGTCCACCCATCTTTAAGCTGCCAAGGTTGAGACTGTCCTAAATTAATTCCAAGACCTTTGTGGACAAACACTTTAAGCCAAAATGCAGCTATGTCATCGTCCATGGTGAAGATAGTCAGGGAGTTACAACAATTAATAACTATTTATTAACAAATCAGATACATAAGCACCCCGATCATGATCCTACAAGGTAAGCTAGACTGACAGATGTCAACTGCCTTAAGATCAACTCCCAGTCTCACCTTCCAACCAGAGATTCTCAACCGTGGCAGCTTTAAGAAGTCTGGACTTCAATTGTTGGCTGGGGAATTCTGGGAATTGAAACAAATTCACTGAATTAAAGTTGCTGGGATTGAGAAACATTGCTCTAAACTCCCTCCTCATCCATGTCCCATTTCATTCCATTACCCATTTCATTCCACTCCCCTCGCATGGTTCCCATCCATTGCCTTCCATAACCATTGGACTACAATTCCCATCCCCACCGATCCAGCCATGGCCTCAACCTGTCACTCTCCACTCCATCCTTTCCATTCCATTCCACCTCTTCTAACCAGCACCCTCCACCTGTTTTGGATGGGAATGTCCATCATGCCCAACTATTACATTTGCTGTGGATAATGGACACTGCAATCCAATGCCCAACAGGGAAGAGTTGGGAAAGAAACTTTATCCCTCTTCTATCTATCCTCTTTCTGGATTTACGTAGCCAGGCTCCCCATATTTAGCAAGAATGTATGAACCCCCAAAGAAAAACACCCCTCTCAATCCACCTATTACACTTGTGGATGATGGGCACTGCAATCCAATGCCCAACATAAAAGGGTTGGGAAAACAACTGCTAACCCTCTTCCATCTACCCTCTTTCTGGGTTTATTTTTCTTGCTAAATATGAATACAACCCCCCCCCAAAAAAAAACCCCACTCTCTATCCAACTAGTACAGTTGCTGTGGATGATGGGCACTGCAATCCAATGTCCAAACCTGCAAGAGTGGGGAAAGCAACTCTACCTCCTTCCATCTTCCCGGATTTATATAACCAGCTCCCCATATTTATAATTGTGACCCGCTTCCCAAGACATATATCCCCCCCGACAACTCCCCCCCTTTTCCGGTCTTACACAAACTACCTTGCAACCCCCATCACCATGATCCCATACCCGGAAGTGGGATGACACCTTCTCCCCGCCCCCCTTTCCGCTCTGTCCAATCAAGACGCACCGTTTCAAACCAGACACCAGGCGGAGCTATCGGACAAGCTACCAATCAGCGACGGTGCGAGGTCGGACGCAATTGATGCGAAAGGTGGTCCGATTGCTTTTAAATCCCCTCCGGAAACCTTGACCTTAGGAATAGAGTTCCGCCTGGCTTAGGGTTCTGATCCAGTAATCCCTCCAAGGAAAAAGAAGAAAAATAAGATAAAATAGGATTTGGGGGAGGTTTTTTGGTTGTTGTTTTTGTGGTCAGCAAGGGAGAGAAGTAATGAAAAAGCCGGAGCGGAGGTTTCATGAATCTTGAATAGGGAGAGGCCAATTCAGGATTTAAGAGGGATTTTGTTTTTTTCATTCACCCATAAGAATTCTTTTATAGGGTTTTCGCCTAAAAATCTTTTAGTCCTCCATTTTCTTGCAAAATATTTTGTTGATGAGGATTTCTTAAAATGAATTTTTGGCCCTGAACATGATTCCTACATCAGCTGGATATATTTGGAAGCATATTTGGAAGCTTTGTAGGAAAACAATGGAAATGTTACATAGAAATTTACTGCAGGAAAACTGCTTGGATTTGTCTATATAGTACCAGGAATTGAGTCAATTCTTTAGGTCTGTAATATTAATAGTTTTTTTTTCCTATTGTGATTTTCAGGGAATGTTTTTAGCATAAAAATTGTAGGGGGCGTGCATAAGCGCACCAACCTGCCTACCGTCCCTGTCCTATTATTTCTTTTATTTTTCTTATATGTATCCATGTATTCATAGCTATGTTTTCACTTATACCTATTGTAAGTAATTGACAAACCAAATAAAACAAATAATATATATATAACTTTCAGATACAATAATGAATTCTTACTAAATTTGCTTTGTGTACTTTCCCCCCATATGTGTGTGTGTATGTGGCAATGCCAAACAGTAACATTGATGGATTTTTTCCCCCTATTCTCAATGTTCTAAGTTATTTAACTAATGTTAATGCAGTAATGTGTAAACATGTTACACAAAAATCAACATACAAAAGAATATAGTGCTAAGATTTATAATAAAAAACAGGGGGAAACCAAATATATTTTTATCAGTTCAACTGGAGACAAATCCCACAAAGAATTCACATAGTATTTGTAAAAGTAAGGCAAATGAACAATCTTCTTTTTAAAATCGTATTTTGAAACCAGGCATGTATTCTGATATTGATTAAAATGGGTTCTTTAATAAAGACTGAGTTGTATAATTGACTAGATTGGCCAGGAATTGAATTCTAGGAAATGAAGTCCATTCATTTTAAAATTGCAAAGTTTGAAAGATCCTGGACTATTTTCTCTTCTATTCTCACCGTCCTACCAACTTCTGCTGTGATGCTTTGCTTTACAAAAGCTGCTGTTCCTACATACCATTGCCATCTGCCTGTCAGTGAAAATCTGCAATGTCCCTTAAGGGCCGTTTTCCCCCAGCAGGATGATCCTTATTGCTGCTCTTTTAGCACTAGCCCAGGAGGGAAGCATTAATTTCAGCGGTGTTCACCGTTTGAAATGAAAAGACCGCTAGACAAAACACAGTAACTCAGATTATAGAGGCAAACCCTCTGCACCTCTTTTTTAGAAATATGTTCAAGGAATATGTAGCTGTTCAGCCTTAATTGTCCAATATTTGATTGAAATCTAAAACCATTCATGCAATTTGGCTGTTTTGAAGCATTACAGAACTGAAAAGAAGGAAAGAAATGCATGAAGAAATTTGTAAATTATAAGCTTTTAAAATTTATCCTGTATTTTTTTACCCTTAGGTTGGATTTATATTGTACAAAATAGGATTAAGGCACACCAATTTCTTTGGACTGATAAAACCAGACAGCAAAGTAAGTTATGCGTTACTTAATTCAAAGTTTAGATAGCTGTTTACCTTCTAATTCAGAAAAGAGAGGTCAAAGCGGAAGTAAAATTCTTAGATAATTGGCAAAACCATTTTTATTTATTTACAAATAAAAATTACGCTAAAAATCTATGAACAAATGAATGAAAGAGAGCATGAAGTTACTAACTCAACTTGCGGGACACTTTAATGTTTACACCTTGTTTTAGGTATCATTTATCTCCACAACTGTGGGTGAAAAACAATATTCAAGCTTGTTGGAATCTCAACCTCTTTTTGACCAAGCGTATTATTAAGCTAACATTAGAAAGAGGGAAGAAAAAGCTGGTCAGATAGAGAATCACAAAATGATTCTCTGCATTGAAGAACCTATGCTCCTTCAAATATTGTTAGATTATATTTCTCATTATTCATCCCTCATTTAGCTGGGCTGACAGAAGCTGAGCAGGTCTGGGTTTAGTCGCAAATTTCTTCTCTGCTAAATGAAGCAGGAGAAGTTAATTTTCTCCTGGAAGGATTGTGGGTTGCATTAAGCACCATTTCGCAAAACAGATGACTGGATTTTGACTTAGCGCAGAGATCATTTCAAGTATACGATAAAGCCACGGACCATTATACAAAGTTAACATGGAGCAAGAGGCAATCAATACATTAATCTTCACAGGAATAAGACAATGTGTTTACTGTTTCAGTGTTTTTCTCAACCTTGGCAACTTTATGATTTCTGGACTTCAACTCCCAGAGTTGCCCAGCCAGCCAAGCTGTTGTGACTGCGATTATTTTTAAACACCCCCTGGTCAAACAGTTTTTAGCCCAGAGCTATAATTGCACTTAACAATGAACTTAAGGACCACCATCAGTGAGCTGTTGGACAGTATTACTTGGTCTGTTGTGTGGATGCTTGTGTGTTTTAGGGGGCGCAGAATTTTGGTGAGTGGGAGTGTGTTTGGGGATTGTCATGTGTGTGTGTGCGTGTTGGGTCTGGTACTCTGGGTGTTATCTGAATTTCATTGTTATGTATACTGTGTATATATGTACAATGACAATAAAGAATTCAAATTCAAAGCAGTGCGTATGGAATGCTTCTTCTTGTTTACATATTTGAATATATTAGCCACCCCACTTCAATAGATCCCAATAATTTTTCAAGACAGGTTGGTCCAAAGTCGAGCAACGAGGACTTCCCTGGTTGACAAGTGGACTAGGATCTGGATCTAAAACCATCCCAACTCTTGTCAAGAACCTTGGTGGGATTCAATTTTTTTTTACTACCAGTTCTGTGGGCGTGGCTTGGTGGGCGTGGCAGGGGAAGGAGACTGTAAAATCTCCAGTCAGAGGTGGGATTTGCCAGTTCTCTGAACTACTCAAAATTTCCATTACCTGTTCTCTAGAACTGGTCAGAATCTGCTGAATACCACCTCTGCTCCTGATCAAATCTCTCTTTTTGTATCATTCCATGCAACAGAAGAAGTTAACTAATCAAATCGGTAGAAGTTTCTCTTCTCTGCCCATTAAACACATCCCTGAATCCCCCAAGGGCTAGTATGCAAAGCCCACCAAAGCTAGGACTGGTTCATGCTATCAAAGCCCTTTGTTTTTTTTTTCCCCTAAGGACCAGGTAAAAAACACACTACTCGTTCCATTTGTTCATTTTGTACTTATTGCAGTTGCCTCTTTGCAGAGCCTATTAACCAAGGCTCAGTCCCTACATTGGCCAGTAGATGCTGCTGTTGATCCATACCTTGGTGCAGCTGTTTCTTCCCTCCCAATGCGCCTTAAATAATAATAAAATTGAACCACCATGAAACACACATAGCTTTCCAGGTGTCCTTTCCTCATCTACTTCTCTCTCTCTCTCTCTCTCTGACAATCAGTTTGGGAAAGGGAGGGGAGGAAAAAAAAATGATTCTGGAGAGGGGGGGGAAAAGGGGGCTGTCACTGGCTACCCGGCTAAGTTCAGCAGATCACCCATATTTGTTCACACCCATCATCGGTTCGCTTTTTAAGGCTCTGGTTTCCAAAGCGTATCGCTCGCTGGGTTGCTGCAGTGAAGAATTTTCTCCATGTTTCCCAGGCTTGCAAACACACACACACACAGAGAGAGAGAGAGAGAGAGAGAGAGACAGAGACAGAGACAGAGAGACAGAGAAAGCTGCAAGGATTTTTTAAAAATGACAACCCACCATTCTCTCACCATACTTTCTTGTTGATAGTCTCGGGTCTTGGAAAACAGTGGGCTTGCTTTAGCCCAAGGCTGTTGGGAGAATTTAAACGGCCGCCCGGTTTTAAATTAACAAAGCCCCCGCCCCCATTTGTCAAGGTCAGTGCGTCTTCCTGCTTTGCAATCATCTTCCTCTTTGCTCAACATCGATTTTCCACCCTGTGTTGAAAGAGTCCTGCCATCTGCTATTCCGTGATCCAGAGGCTGCCAAAAGGAATATTCTTTTCTGCCCGGCCCAAAGGAAAGAAAAGGAGGAAATCACCCCATCCTCCCCAAATGAGGATAATACCTCATCAAGGTATTACCTGCATATTTGGGCAAATAGTCAAATTTCACGATGGCTTTGTTTTTTTTGCTATTGTACAAATTCAACCCTACATAGTTTGTCTTATTTATTAAATTTGTACTCCCACCCACCCCTGCCAATCTCACTGTTTCTGATTCTGGGTGGCTTAAAAAAAATTATAACTGCCGCTTGGTAATACTTTACAAATCTGGACATTTGGGACTTATTCAATAAACCAGGATTAGGCAACGGCTTAATTTAGTGTCCCAAGCCAAGTGGAGATAAACATGGAACTGTAGTTGCAAACAAGGCTTGCTGCTTGTGGTGGGAAACAGCTCCTCCCAAAAGATGCTTCTGCTTATTAAATTGTTGATCTCACCGTTTACAGGAAAACGGCTAAAAAGAAAAGGTTTGCACATGAAAAAAAAATATACAGGTAGTTCTTGACTTACGACCATAATGGAGCCCAAGGTTTCCATTGCTAAGCAAGGTGGTTGTTAAATGAGCTTTGTCGCATTTCATGATCTTTCTTGCCACAGTTGTTAAGGAGATCCTGCGATTATCCATCGGAATTGAGCTGGAAGGGACCTTGGAGGTCTTCTAGTCCAACCCTTGCTCAAGCAGGAGAACCATTACAGGCAAGTGGCTGTTCAGTCACTTCTTAAAAATCAAAATTCCCCATTGACTTTGCTTGTGAACAGTGCAACTGTCGTAAGTACATGCCAGTTGCCAAGCACCTGTGTTTGGATCACATGACCGTGAGGATGCTGCACACGGTCGTTAAGTGGGAAACCCGGTCCTGAGTCAGTTTTTTTCACTGCCATTGTAACTTCAAATGGTCACTGAACAGTCAGTCACAAGTCGAGGACTACCTGTACGTAACAGGGGAATAAATAGGCCCCAGATCCTGTCTCTAGGAAGCCACAGAGTGTTGGATACGAATAGTCCTCGAATTACAACCACAATTGAGCTCAAAACTTATGTCATTAAGTGGGACATTTGTTCAGTGAGTTTTGCCCTATTTGGTGACCTACCTTCCTTGCCGCAGTTGTTCAGGGAATCACTCCACTTGATATGTTAGTAATTTGGTTGTTAAATGGCTTCCCCATTGACTTTGTCAGGTCACAAAAGCAGATCACGTGATCTGGGGACACAACAACGACGGTCATAAGTATGAACCAGTTGGCAAGCCTCTGAATGTTGATCCCGTTGATGCAAAAGTCGTAACGGTGAAAAACAAAAACCCGGTCATCGAAGTCACTCTTTTTCAGTGCCGGCGTAACTTCGAACCGTCAGGAAATGAAACTTGTCATAAGCCGAGGATTACTTGTATTTCAGAAACTTAATCCAATCGAGACGGGAGCCCGGCGGCGTGTGTGAATTCCGGCGCATCCCCAAGGCCACCCAACCCTGTGTTCGCTGGCAGGCAGCTGGCACCTAAATACACATTACCAGCCCCTTTAATGGCCTTGCTTGGGGAGGCCCAGAAAATCCAGGAAGCTAATGATTCAAATGCTGGGAATTAAGGCTTGTCATATTACCTGGAGGTGGGTCGGGTTAGCCTCCCCGTGGAGGTGGGAAAGGGAATAGACTCTGCCCAGGTGTGTAACGTGATAGCTGGGCACAAGAGGGGAGGCCTTGGTTTTCAGCTGGTTGTTTAAGCCACATTCCTCCCCTGAATAACTTAAGAGCTGTCCTCTTGTGGCTGCTTGCCACACCCAAGATTATTACTATTAATAATTATTACAGTTATTATTCCCCAAAACCCTTTACAAGGGTGGTTGTTTGAGGGCAGTACAAGTAGTCCTCCACTTACGACCACAATTGAGCCCAAAATGTATGTGGCTAAGTGAGAAATAGGTTCAGTGGGTTTTTTACCCCCATTTTTATGACTTTTCTTGCCATGTTGCTAAATGAGGATGGGACTGATTTCCGGCGAGGGGATATTTGATCTTCTGATCTCTGGACCCACACTTTTTAAATTAAAGCCTAGGGGAGCTGAAGCGAAAGACATCTTGAAATCCCCATTTTTGGGTGGGGGGAGGGGGGGAACCTGCATTAATCTTCCGGAGCCTCATAATAGAGATGGAAGGGACCTTGGAGGTCTTCTAGTCCAGCCCCCTGGCTCAAGCAGGAGAACCTTTCCCATTTCAGATTAAGTGACTCTCTAAGAGACTCTTCTTAAAAACCTCCAGTGATGGAAGCACCCACGACTTCTGGTGGCAAGCTGTTCCACTGGTTAATTGTCCCTCACTGTTAGGAAGTGTCTCCTTAATTCCATGTTGCTTTTATCTTTGATTAGTTTCTTTTCTTGCCTTCTTTGGTACTTTGGAGAATAAGTTGACCCCCCCTTCCTCTTTGTGGCAGCCCCTCAAATACTGTTTATTTATCTATTTTGTCAAGCATCTATTAGATAACAGAAATACAAACATAATTATTAATAAACGAAATGGATACAAATTAAGGGAACATTAGGACAGGGACTGTAGGCATGTTGGTGTGCTTAATGTCACTCCTAATTCTTCTTTTCTCTAGACTGGCCAACCCCAAAACCTGCAGCCGTTCTTCACATGTTTTAATCTCCAGGCCTTTGATCATCTTAGACTTAGTTGCTCTTCTTCGAACTCTGAAAAATGGACCAGGCACCCTCCAAGTTGAATAGCTGTGCTTTAGTTCCAACTAAGACGTTGCTGCACTTGGGGAAAAAAAAAAAGCAAGGAAAACTGCTTTCTCACATTACATTTGAGCCACGGTTGAAACTGAGTTTTAGTCTATTTGCCCGACACGGATCTCCTTTTTCCCTGGCTGCATTCTCAAGACCAGCTCGGCGCACTGGCTATCTATCCGATTTGATCTGACCCGAGGGTCGTGTGAAGGCAACCCGGGAGTTGCACGTGTGTGCGGTGATGCAAGGGGATCGGCCTTTGCAAGGTGAAGGATTCGGGCTGGGCCAGGCTCAGCCGGAGCAGAGTCAATGGAGCAGCATCCAGGCAGCTCCGCCCTCCTTGCAGGGAAACGCTGGGCAAACGGAGCGCCTGCAAAGCCTCCAGCGGATGTGACAGCGGCCCTACCCGCCGGCTGACTGGCTGGTTTGCTCCCTCCCGTCTGGTCTGGGCTCCTCGGGGGGCGGCGCTTAACCCCCCGTGACCTCCTCCCAGCCAATCCTCCGCCGCGGACCGAAAGAGCGGCGGGAGGCCTCGCCAATCGGCGGTCCCTCTTCTTTCTCTCTCCCACCCCTCCATTTTCCCCGTCGCCAGAACTTCCTTTGTCAATCAAAGGCGGCGGAGGGGAGGGCCTCTCCTCGCCATCCCGCTGTAAGGGAAGGCGGCGGCCACCAATGAGAAGCGGCCCGGAGACGGGACGTACGCCTCGCGCCTCCAATCCGCGGCCCTCCTGGGCTTTAGTCAGGCAGGGCCGACCTCCTTCCCCCTCCTTCCTCCCCTCCCTCTCTTTTTTTTTTCCTTTCCACTCCTTCCTCCCACCCTCCCTCCGTTCCTCCTCCTTACCTTACTTCTCTCTCTCCCCCAAACTCCCCCCCCCGATCCTTTCCCAATTGGTTTGTCCCGCTCGGGCCCGTCGGCGGCGGCGCTTGAGAGGAGCCTGCCGCGCGCGCTCTCTAACCGAGGACGGGCTCATTTCAGGGCGGCGCGGGGGGGGGGAAAAGAAGGGCAGCACGCGCGGCGACGAGGAGGCTCGATTTAAAGAGACAGGCGAGCCGGGGTGGGGGAGGGAGGGAAGCGGCGGAGAAGAAGAAGAGGCGGCGGCAAGAGCCCCGGCACACACCCCTCCTCGCCCAGCGCGGCTGCCAGGGCTTCCCCTTCTCCCTCACCGCCACCGCCGCCTCCCCCGAGGCCTCCATGAGGTAGCAGCGCGCGACCCGGCGGCGATTCTCCTCAGGAGATTCTCTCTCTCCTCCTCCTCCTTTTCCTCTGAGGAGAATCTTCGCCCGCCGATTTCTCCCCTCAGCTTTGTGCGGCGCCGCTGCCGCCGCCGCCGCCGTCGTCGTCGACGCTTTGTTCGGAGCGGCGGCGGCAGCGGCAGCAGCAGCAGCAGCCGGGGGCGGGGTTGAGGCGAAGCAGCGGCGGCGAGGGAGGAAGGGAGCGGGCGGGCGGCCGCTCCCCGGCACTGCAGTCGGCCGCGCCGCCCTGAGGGAGCGCGCCCGAGAGGAGGAAGAGGAGGAGGAGGGAGGAAGGAAAGGAGGGAGGGGGGGGATCGGCCCGCAGTGGCCCCCCTCCCGGGGGAGGAGGAGATTCCCCCTCCCCGCCTCAGCCGCCTCCTCGGCTTCTCTTCCCCCCCCCTCCCCCGCGAGACCCTCCCCCCCCCTCCCGCCTTAAGCAGCCGTAGCCGTAGCCGCATCGGCGGGGCGGGCGGGGGATTGATGTGGGGGGCTCGGAGATGAGTCCGCCGGCCGCCGGGTGCTGCCATGTGACCGGCTTCAAGGTGGAGAACTGGAAGCAGAACCTGCGGGTGATCTACCAGTGTTTCGTCTGGAGCGGCTCGGCCGAGAGCAGGAAGCGCAAGGTGAGCCAGGCAACCTCCCCTTTTACCCCGCCCGGCCTGCGGGGGGGGCGACCTCCCACCCGTCTCTTCCTCCCCCCCCCCGAAGAAGGGGGGCGGGGGGCGGGGCGGCCTCGCAGCGGCGAGACGGGCGCGTTTCTAGTCCTCATGCTTTTGGGGCGGAGAGGAGGAGGAGGAGGAGGTCCCGCGGGGAAACCTCCCCTCTTCTTTCTCCCCCCCACCCCACCACCAGCGTTTCTAGTCCTCAAGGTGCATCTTCCTCCTGGCTCCTCCCCTAAAGGGCCTGTCCCCCCCCCCCTTCCCTGCAGGGACAGCAAACCCAAGCTTCTAGTCCTCATGGTTCTGGGGCGGGGAGAAGGAAAGAGGGGAGGGGGCGTTGGTCCCCGGTGGGCGACCTCTCCTCTTCTCCGCCCCCACCCCCCAGGTTTCTAGTCCTCAAGGTGCCCCCTCCCCTAAAGGGCCTGCCCCCTCCTCTTCCCCCGCGGGGGGACAGCAAACCCAAGCTTCTAGTCCTCATGGTTTTGGAGGGGGGGGGGAGAAGAGGAGGGAGGGGTGCCTCCTCTTCTTCCTCCTTGCCTCCTCTTCAAGGGAGGCTTCTCTCTTTCTCTTGCCCGCAGCAAGCGCGTTTCTAGTCCTCAGGGGGCATCTTCTTCCGCCCTCCCCTCTCCTAAGGGGCCGACCCCCCCCCCTTTTCCTACAGCAGCAGAGGCGTGTTTCTAGTCCTCATGGTTGAGGAAAAGAGAAGGCACCCTCTTTTTCCTTCTGCCATCCCCATCCCCTCCCCGAAGGGGGGAGCAGAGGCCCCAGGGGAAGCCCCCTTCCCCGCAGCATCAGCAGACGCGTTTCTGGTCCTGGTGGTTCAGGGGAGGAGGAGGAGGAAGAAGAAGAAGAGGGATCATCATCATCATCATCGGCCTCCTCTTCTTCCGCCTCGCCCCCTCCCCAAAGGGACCGGTCCCGAGGGGCGGGGCGGCCCCCTCCTCCCACACCCCTGCAGCAGCAGCAGCACCCCAGGCGTGTTCCTAGTCCTCATGGCTTGGGACAGCGAGGGAGGGAGGAGAAAAAGGGGACAGCCTTCCTCTTCCTCCTCCTGCTGCTGCTGCTGCTGCTGCTGCGGGCGGACTTTCCCGGAATCGGGCGGCTGCAGAGCCCGCCTGGAGGAGGAGGAGGAGGAGGAGGAGGGAAAATGGGACAGCAGAGCCGGAGTTCTGGGGCCAAAGAGCGCGCCCGGCCTGCTCAAGTGGGCCGGGGGGGGGGGGGGTTGTCCGCTCGGCCAAGGAAAGCCGGCCTCTCTCCCCCCCACTCCCTTCCGATGTCCCGCGGCTGGGTGGGTGGGTGGGTGGGCGAGGAGCGCTCAGGCGGAGGAAGGGGCGCGGTCGGAGTGCGGGGGGGGGGTCTCTCTCTCTCCGCTCCTTGGTCCATTCTATGGGGAGAGGCCGCGGCTGGAGCTGCCCCCCGCCCCCCCCGGCTGCCGGAGGAAGCCGGCCGGGGTTGCCCACCACACAATAGGTGGAAACTGGTCTCGTCCTGCCGTTAGGCGGGCAGGGATGTTTCTGAAAGGGCCGGGCGTCCACGGTCATCGTAGGTGGGGGAAACATGATCTGTGGGTGGCGGAGGAAGTCAGAAGGGAAATGCAGAGAGGAGATCTGTTTCAGGGCACAGATTACCCTCGAAAGATGCACCAGGAAGGAAGGACCATGTAACAACACAGGGTCTAAGCCTAAGGCAGGGATTCCCCCCTCCCCTCCTCTTTCCTTCAATGGGTGGGTTGCAGAGTCGGCCTCCCCTATAACACGCGAAAACAACTAAAGTGTCCCTATGGGAAAGGAGCAAGCTCCATAAATCCAGGATACAAAAGGCAGCTGCTGCTGGGGGAGAAAACCGATGTGGAGTTCTGGCTTTTGGTGTGAAGGCCGCTTTTTTTTTTTTTTTTTTAAGGAGCCAAGCCAAGGTCAGAGTTGAAGTGGCAGGGCTGCAGCAGTGAAAGGCATGTGCCAAGTTAAAGAAAGTTAAACAAATGCAGGGCAGGATGAATGTTAGAGGGGTTGTTGGTTGCACTTGGATGTAATTTGTAACATCAGGAAAATGGTTTGTAGGTGGTTGCCCATGGGGCAAATATTTGTGGGGTAGGCATATCTCCAGATGTAACTTTGAGGCCTTGACAGTTGCTCCCTGCTTAGGTTACAGTAGTTTCCATTAGTAATTGGCAGATAAATCATATGCATATGCAGAAGAATAGGAGAGAATTGTCCATAGAACAGGGTTCCATTTTTAAAAACTTTGAAATGCCTCTATTCCTCTTTAGAAAATACCCACCTTTTCTCACAGATAGCAAATGCATATTGTAAGGGAAAAGCCTTTGTCCAGTTTTCTTTATGTGGTACTTTTTAAGTAGAGGTTTCCGTACATGCAAACCCTCTCTTCCAATCTGAAGTGTCAAAGTCTTTCAGTAAAGTGTCTTTATGTGTCAACTGTTAAAACAACTAGTTTCCCTCCTATAGCATTTTAAATAATTGGGTAGTTTGACATTCACAGTTCTGGCACTGGGGATGAAAAAGTAAAATGTACAAGCATTTTCTTCTGTGATGGCTTGCTATCTAATATTGCTTTGTAGAAAGATGTTGATATGATTTTTCTGGCCTTGCTTTGTCAGAAAAATCTCCATTGCTTTTATCTGAATTGGTACACAGACGTAAAGAGAGAGAGAAAAAGCTGAAGATAGCACTGCTCAGGCACTGACAATTCCAGAGAGAGGAGATAATGTAGAAATTCGATAGAACAGCCGGTATATGGAGTATTGATTTTATAAAATGCAGTAGCGAAAACTCTAAAACCAGTGTTGGCAAAGGAAAGCAAATTACTATGGCTTATCCAATGAATAAATGAAAAATCGTGTCATTTGATGTTCAGGATTAACCTCCCATTTTTATTTCTGGCCCTTGTGTTTTAAACATCCTGATATCCAAATAAACTGTAGGGGGCAGAAGGGGTGTATTTTTATTTCTGACTTGGTTGTCTACACTGCTTATTGCCTTACCTTTTCTGAAAGGCTGCTAACTGTATTGTGTTGCTTTTTTATTTCTATTGTTCTTCCCTCTTCCCCATGCAGTATGCATGTCTTAGTTGTTAATCCATTGCTTTTTATATTATGGAAAATGAAGGTTGCCTTTCACTAAAGTTTTTTTTTTGTTCAAGCCAATGTTAGTGCAAGTTACTACATGACAAGAACTACAGTGTGCTTAGAATGGATAATAGCAATCTTTTTTTGACGAGTCAGAGAATCTATTTTGAGAATGCATATGTACCTCAGACTAGAACATTCAGAATATTTGTTTCGTATTTTGTTCTGTCTTGGTAATATTTACATTTACAAATTTAAATTGGCAGCTGATGTACTATGATAAAGATTTCTTGATTTCACAGATTTAAGAAATGTAAGGGATTGATGTCTGGAACAAATGCATTGTGCATGGTTATCTCTATGGTTTGTCTCTAGAAAGGCCTCTGATTGGTACTTCAGAAAATCAGTGCTTGATCCAAGAAGATAATAATGCTTGGCCTGTTTTTCAAAAGGTTTTTTTTCTCAGATGTTTCAGTTAGAACAGTTGTGTACTGCATATTCTCAGTGTAACATTTTAGCTTATTGACAATAATATTCCATCTGAGAATAATAATTATTTTGATAGAATTGGAAGTCTACTTGTAGTATGACTTGGGAATAGTTGTATATTCATGTAGGTTACTTCTACTACTACTGAAGCCATAGTTAAAATACACAATCCAAATACAGTAAGCAACTATTTAAAATGCACAAATTTTATGTGGTTTCCCCCTTAACAGAATTAATTATTATTATAAGTTTATCACATTGTTGTTTTCTTTAAAAAATTATATACACTGACCTTTTTAACTAGTGCAATTGTAACATCTTTTTGTATTCCAGCACCCTCTTCGTGTAAAATATTCATTTTATTTTAGCTCTAGCTTAATTGCTATAAAGGGATGTCCAGATTAGTATCTAGAGCTGACACCCTAAGTTTGGAACCCAAAGAGAGACAAAATTGATATGATTTCTTTGTACTTCAGCATAGGTTGGATTGTACTTGTCTCATAAATCCTTTTTGCCTGACTAAAATATGTATCTCTATATAATATTTCCTGAATTTTTGGCATAATTTTTTGGATAGGTAGAAAAAAATTCAAAGTGCTGCTATATTCTTTTCTTTTTTTACATAATAATCAGTCCAGAATTCAGTTAATGTCATATCTGTACTTCACTAGTTGTTGATTGCTCCTCACATTGTGAACCATGCAAAATTTATTAACTGCTGTTTCACATTTACTGTTTTCATTATGTATATGAGAAAACTGATTTCGTTATTAAATTCTATTGATCTATTGGAAGTAACTGGCTATGTTAACCTGAATACCGTAGTGTTCATCATCAGGTATGAAAATACCATAGAATTACTGGATGAATTATGAACATGTACTTAAAAGGTTTTTTTTGAGCCCCGAAAAAATGGCTAGGCCGTCTTTTCGGAGGTGACTTAATTCCCCCACTTGCATCTTCGGGTGGGTGGGCGGCGACGGCTTGGATGTTGACCTCGGCGTTGGTGGGGCACTTCGTATCGGAGTCAACACAGGCAGCACCATATCCGGGTGTGCAACAAAAGTACTTCCTAACGGCAAGCCCCCCCACCATTCCCCCCCATTTCGCATGTTTTAATATAGGCCTTAATTTGGGGGGAGAGGCTTAATTTCATTTCATGCCTATAAAACATGCTGGGACTTCCTATTGGGGGAGGCCGTATTGTTGGAGAAACAGGGTATTTGCCTATAGCTTTCAGAATTTGTTTCTTTTTTTGAATTGCGAATAAGGTCTTTCAGTGACTTCTGTGAGGTTATTTGGGGGGAGTTTATGTTCTCTGGGTTCTGACTGTTTCTATTAGATAGAGTTGATATATATATATATATATAGTCTATCAGATATAGTAGATGTA